AGTGCCAAAATAACTAATAAAATTACAGACTATAATATCTAAAAAAGACAATTGCCGTCCCCTAGAATATATATTATTTTGATTGGATTATCACGTTTTGATGTTATTAGTAAAATATTTTTTATCATACTCAAGCATTTCAGATAATTTTTTACATTCTCATGATGGCTGAAAACACATCTTTAAAGATATAAAAATATGTAGATTAAAATATTATATCAATAATTTATTTTAAAAAAAGAGGATGATTATGTTTACTTAGAAAATATATGGGTTCTTTGCATGTAATATAAGTTTATATAATATGTTGCTTCCAAATTTTAAAAGAAATTTAGTTTTTATAAAATATAAAGAATTATTACCTATGCTCAAATTACGCATGTCGATTACCAATTGTTATACGTTTAATGATAAAATCTAAACATTTAGTTTGTTAAAAATATACAGAATTATTATCATTGCTTGAATTCAGCCTAGATTACCAATTGTTTTTAAAATATCCTATAATAATTGCTAAAAAAAAAGTCTATATGTTAAAAATAAAAACCTAAACTTCGTTTTCTTTAAAAATAAGAGCAAATAATATATGGGGTGGTATCATCTAAATATCTGCTTGTTGTAAGATTCTATAAATTCTTTATGGCGTATGAGCAGGACTTTTATTCTTGCTAATAAGCATATGTCGTACGACTATTTCTTCGTATTGTCTATTGTATACTGTATACAGGCGCGTACGCAGGAATTTGGTCTGGGGGGGGGGGATAATAAATTTTTTTGAGAAATATTATTGTTTTTTAAAAATATCAAGCATAAATTTATTAGGACTATAACTATTCCTAATACACAATTTTAAATTAATGTGAATTATAAAAAAATTATATGTAAAGAATCACTTAAATGACCCAAAATAGAAATTTGAATTTTTTGAGCCTTTACACAAAAAGTTTCTTAGGAATAATTGTATTTTGTATGTTATATATTTACAATGTAATATCCAATCTTCGTTGGAATTGAGCTAATTTTTCAATTATCTCATCCTTGCAGGTCGTCAAATGACTATGAATATTAAAAAAATCCAAACCTTTCAATCTACTTTCACATGTTGTACTTCTTGGTATGTTTTTCAGAGACCTGCAGGCCCGGCTCTTGGGCCGGACAATAGTTTAATTTTTTTAATTATACCAAGGCCGGGCCCAAAATTTTTTTTAAAAAACACCCGAGCCGGACCTAAATTTTTTTAAAAATACACCCAAGCCGAGCTCTATTTTTTAAAACAGCCTATATTTGAAATCGTTATTATTAGCTATAAAAATCAAAAATAAATATAATTTATTTTTAAAAAATCCAGGCCGGGCCTGAAAATTTTATTTAAAAAAAAGCCGGGCCTAGCCTGTAAATTTAAAAAAAAAGCCGAGTGACCTAAAAATTTTTTTAAAAATAACGTAAAAAATCTTAAAAAAAAATCCGGGCCGTGCCCTGCAAATGGTACTTCTTAAGGCCTCTGTTATTCTTCTTTAAAAAGAGAGTGTTCTCTCATTAGTTTACTAATGGGAAGAGTTTATAAACCCTTTTAATACATTGGGAATTTAATCTAAAATATGTTTGAAATAATGCAGAGCATCCATAGCATTTTTTTGGGACTATATCAACTATAGTTAATCTTATAAACATAGTTATTCAGCTAGTAAGGCATCATAAGATACTTTAACATCTTCATAATAAAAATCTAACAAATATTTTTTTTTCTATCACCATCTGAAAAAGGTTGGGAAGGCTTTTGTGGAAGTAATATTTGCAGATGTAAGTGCTGCATGATATATTAAAAATTCATTTAGGTTATAAATGTATCTGCATCTAAGATAAACTCTTCTACTGATCTTATATTAATGTTTTAACGATGAGCTTGCCTTGCTGTCGAGGGAGACAAATATTAAACACGTATAGCTCTGCTTTTGACTCAACAATAAAATATAAAATATGAATTCATCAACATTAGCCCTAATTTCCTTGAGTTCTGATAAAATGCTCTCCGCTATTCTCATCTTCTTAATCAAATCTTTGTCATGTTTTTGAAAAGTAATACTTAAAATAGTTGTATAATTAAATAATACATTCTAATGAGAAATAAAATTTGGAATAAGCATTGAATTCAATAATTTTCTTGCTTCTGAGGAAATATTTCTTTCAGGTCATTGTAATATTCCAGTAATAGCAAATAATTCTTCTAACTCTGTTGATTGATTATATATTTAAATAAATTTAAATTTGAATAGTTAATTTTAGTTTTATTTGAATATTGTTTATTTTTAAAATATATTAAAGTTGATTGTTTAATATGTTCAATTAACTTTATATATATATATATACTATGTTTTTAGATATAAGATATAATAATAATAATAATAATAAATAATTTTGATTTTAAAAAGAATTAATTTAAATAGTTTAATAAAGTTAAATACTTTCTTTTATGGTGCCCCGGTTACGGTGGTACGTTTTTTCGTTTTTTCTTTCTCTTTTTTTAAAAAAAAATATAATAAAACAAAGTAAAATAATAAAAGTTTAAAATATCCTTACCTTGAATTCTTTTGTAAAAATAAAAGGTAAAGGAATTACTTATAAAATTTGTAGTTCGATATGGGAGATGATAAAGGACAAATAAAATTTTTTGACTTTTCTTTTCGATAGTAAAAATTTTATCCAAATTTACAAAATTATAAAAGGTTAAAAAAAAATTTATTTAGAATAACTTGTTAACTTCTTGTTTCTTTTATGGCGCCCTGTTACGTTTTTGTTAAAAAAAAAAAGAATAAAATATAGAAAATTTGCCTAATATTAAAATAAAAAAGTATAAATTAAATTAAATTTGAAATTGATGACTACCTTATTTATTGATTTGACTACCTATTGTGACGATTGCTTAATCCATTGAGATGACTCTATTTATATGACTACCTATTGTGACGATTGTTTAATCCATTGAGATGGCTCTATTTATATGACTACCTATTTACTACCTATTGTGATGACTATCTAACCTATGGGAACTGCTTAACCTATGGAGATGACTACCTATTATGACTACCTAATCTATTGTGACTACCTAATCTATTGTGATGACTATCTAACCTATGGAGACTGCTTAACCTATGGAGATGACTATCTATTATTACTACCTTATCTATTGTGACTACCTAATCTACTGAGATGACTATCCAACCTATGGAGACTGCGTAACCTATGGAGATGACTAAGAAGTTAAAACATATGAATTAAAAGGGATTGATTTAAATAACCCTTATAAGTAATACTTAATATGATAAAAATGTTTTTGAAATAAAGCTTTTGAAGACAAAAGGTTATGTAAAAATTAAACATCATTATTTTAGAAAAATATTGTGTGAAATTTAAATTTTTTTTAAGAGAGGGAAATGTGCATAATATTTACATATTTTAACCTCGGAGATTGAAAATAAATAAAAATAAATTAAATATTAAAACGCTACTAATTAAATATTGAAACGCTAAAATATGTAAAACGCAAAAAATGTAAAACGCTAAAAGTATAAAACGCTATGATTAACTTAACACCTAAAAAATAATATAATAATATTTTATTGTTCCGAAATTCAAAATTTTATTCGTGCATATTATTCATATATTTGATTTGATCAACTATTCCAAATTACATATTCCGATTTATTCCAAATTCCAATATTCAACTGGATTAATGATAATAACAATTTTGAGAAATGTGAACAACATACGATAAGGATATCAAGCCTACAAAAAAACGTACAAACTCACGCAACTCTAATAAACGATTTTATCAAACCTACGTGATAGAATCAAGCCTACGAAAACATTTGAGACTTATGCGCTAACCAAGATAAAACCGAGTACAATCGAAACGGGGAAAAACTTCTGGGACAATAGGCTCTCGATGACTGCTGAGAAGAAGCTTCGTTATTTGTAGAAGAGGGGGAATGTTGATTGATTATATATTTAAATAAATTTAAATTTGAATAGTTAATTTTAGTTTTATTTGAATATTGTTTATTTTTAAAATATATTAAAGTTGATTGTTTAATATGTTCAATTAACTTTTTTTATATATATATATACTATGTTTTTAGATATAAGATATAATAATAATAATAATAATAATAATAATAATAAATAATTTTGATTTTAAAAAGAATTAATTTAAATAGTTTCGTAAAGTCAAATACTTTCCTTTAAACTCCTTAATAGCTGTTAGTGCTTGATGGAAGAGGCTCTATCTCGTTGGACAAGGTTGCAATTTCTTTTTCCCTGTTGGACCAGAAGTTTCAGAAATAATTATTATTTGACTAGAAATTTGAAAATGGTAGATAAATATTACGCCAATAAAAATTTGAAAATAATAAGTAAATATTACGCCGGAAAACTTGAAATCGAAATTAATTGATAAAATAACTTATGAATGTGATAATAAATGTAATATAATATATATTTAATATGAAATACGAATAAATATTAACAAATATAAATTAATATAAACAATAATATTTTTGAAAAATATATCCGGCATCTGCATTTTTTGGCTTTGGGGGAGGATTTGTCACCCTGCCCCCCCCTCCCCGCTGCGTACGCCAATGACTGTATAGGAAAATAGGAATATAGAATTTTAATTTTCACATTTCTATCCAAATCTCTAAAAATAGAAACCAGTCTACTAGAAACATATCTAGTATTTTCCTAGTAGGGATTTGGTTGCCATTCTTCTCTATAAATTTTATTGATGGGCTTTAGTTTTGCTTTTTTAAGCCTTTATCTGGTTCTATTTTTATAAATATAATCTTGACTTTCCACCAATTAAATGTTATTTTTCTGAATTATTTTAATTACTGCAATTATTTGATTTATTATCTCATGAGTTATATCCAAGAAGTTGTTGTAGATGTATCATCCAAAATAATTACCACTTCAAAATATTGACCTTATGGTTTACTTATTTATATATATATAGCTTCTCGCTTATATTTATCAAAAAAATCTTTATGTCAATCACATTTGAAATCGAAATTATGAATAACCATTAGTGCAAATGGTAATAATTTTTTAGGATTATAATTCCATTTCTTTTTATTTAGATGAATTTTATGCTGTTGTTTAGCCGTCAAGGTAAGGTGCGATTGCAAAAATGGTATATTGCGAAATCGGATAAAGATAAAAGAAAAATTTTGAAAGAATTGATGATGCTTATTATAGCGCGAAAGCCAAAGATGTGTAATTTTTTGGATTGGAAGGATTTAAAAATAGTTTATAAAAGGTTCATAAAATAAATGATTTAAAATATTTATTTAAATATTACATAGATATGCTAGTCTTTATTTTTGTTGTGCAATAGAACAAAATGATAATGAATTACTTTGTTTAGAAGTTATTCATAGATATGTTGAATTGTTGGACAAATATTTTGGAAGTGTAAGCTATTATCTTTTTTATGAATTATGTTTTTTAATAATTTAGGTGTGTGAATTGGATATAATTTTTAATTTTGAAAAAGCCTATTTTATGCTCGATGAATTGTTATTAGGAGGAGAAATGCAAGAAACCAGTAAAAAATGCATTTTAAAGGCCATAACTGAGGAAGATGTTCTACAAGAAGTATTCTAAATATTTTTTGCTAACACTCACAAATACTAACCTCGGGATTTAATTGCTATATAAATACTTCATTTTATTTTTCTAATATCACCATAATAATGCCTTACTAATTAATATTGAATTGCATATATTTAAATATACTAGCTAAAAACAATACAAAATATACCCATATCTTTTTTTTTGACATGGGGGACTATTTAAAAACATTGTTTATTGTTATAAAACTTAGTATGTTAATGTTATGTTTTCATTATAATAGCATAAACTGTTTAGTTTAAAGCTTTTTTTTTTGTATAAAGAAAAGAAAACCTATTTGATTATTTTTATAAAATTAATTATTTGTAGGCTTTACCAATCCACAATTTTCTCACCAATCTGATTCGATATATGCATAAATTTATCCCAAATGGCCCCATTATAATACCAATATTTACATTGATTTTTTTGTCATTATTTTATATAAAATAAGATAAATAATAAAAATTGGTATATACTTTTTAAAAGTGTTTTAATCAAAACATTTACTTTTCACTCTTATAATTAAAAACAGATCTTTTAAAATTTTTAAAATATATCTTATCTGTAATTAAATTGTAGATTAATGTTAGTAATTAGGTATAGAATAAATAATGCATTATTTTATTAAGTTATAGGCCTAGAATAATAATATATACTATTTAATATTAGTTTTCTAAATGATGATCAGAATTTTTACTTGTCTATTTTAGTCTTAATATAAATAATTATAAATTTATATTCTAACATACTATATTCAATTTTCTGTTTATTACTATTTATCATTATTTGAATAAAAAGTAAAAACAAAATAAATATCAATTAATAAAATAATATAATATTGAAAAAATGATTAATAATTAAATTATAGTATTGGATATTTTTCTTTATAAAGTTAAGAGATTCAAGTTTACTTATTTATTTACCTTTAGTTCTTTCTTAATATGAATAATGGAATAAACAAAAACAAATAACAATTAAAAATTTTTTTATTAAGTTTTACCTTCCTTCACACTTTCTTTATGGAAGTTGTGAATATTTATTATGAGGGAAAGTTAGTTCAAAAACAAAATAGAAAATATGTATAAAAATATTTTGCATTATATATTCAGTATTGGTTAAATTTTTAAAAAATATTGGCCTATCCAATATTTTTTTAAAAGTCCAATATTGATACCGATCTAATACTAACACACTTTCCACCAATGCAACTTCCTTTCAACCTAACACAACATAGCCTTAATTGCACCCACAGCCAAGGTAGCCATCTCTGGCATAAAGCAATTAATAAAATCATCCATAACACTTTTAAAAAGCTAAAATATCCAACATCCCAAACCAACCAACCTACCTTTCATTACAGGATGGCCTCAGATCTGACAGTTTAATCTGTACCACCTGGTCTAACAGGAAATCCCTTATTTTTCCTTCATCATTTAATTCAAACCCTTTAACTTGCAAGGAAAATAAAAAAAATTAAATATAACAAACGAATACCGGGAATCTATATTTCTCAAACAAAAACTTCAACTAGAAATTTTTAAACACAATTATACTTGTTTTTTAGGTACATATTCATTATTAAATTAAGCTCATTTAGAGCCTCCGATATCTATAATATATATTTTATTTTATTTAGTAATTTTATATATTTTTATACACTTGTTTTAATATTTTAGTGTTTTATCATTTTTTTAAATTTATAAATAAAATATAATTTCTTTTATATAAAAAAAATGTAATATCAGTGCAGTAGTTACTTGATATAATTTAAATAAATATTATAGGTAATATCTTTATATATTTCTAATGTGATAATTTGACCATATTAATATCTGGGTAAGTTTTGAATAACAGGAAGTATTCATTGATATTAGAAATCTGCAAATGTAGGCCCAGCCTGAATCCTATTTTTTTTTTTAAATGATTCAGTTCAAGCTAGATTGGGCCTAATATTTTTTAAAAAAATTTTGGCGAGTGTGCTTAAATTTTGATATGAAATTGATACATTTTAAAATTTTTGCAAGAAACAAGGTACAAATATTTTTTATTTATTTATAAAAATATCAAAACTCAATTATGTTTAGTGTAAAACTATATTGAAAAAACATGAATTGGGTCAAATTAAAATTTTTTCTTTAGCAACAAACTGGGATCACAAATTTTTTGAAAAAATTTTGGACCTTAGTGGGCTTGAAAAATTTTGTCCAATGCAGATCACTAATTGATGGAATGATTCCAAATAACTAGGGCTTTGCCGATCCACATATTTTTCACCGATCCGATCCGATATTTCCGATATTGCTTCAACCCCGATCCGATATTTTTACTGATTTTTAATCACCCCCGTTTGAATCAAATGTAATTAAGAAATCAATATTTTTTATGCAAAAAATCGAATTATGAATTTAATTTAATTATTTTATTTCTACAATTAAGACTATAATAAAAAAATATATATTTAATAATATATCCATTTTATGTTGGAATTAAAAAATTGTAATATTTAATATATAAAATTATAATATATTAGATTTTTTTAATAAATATGAGAGCCTTTAGATTTTCTGGGAATAAGCTTCTACGATATGGAATATCTATATCTCCTGCCGTACTTAAGGCAGACTCAGATGATTCCGCAGATAACGCATTTTGCAAAATTATCTTTGTCATTTGTGAATATTTCCATAATTCAGATATCATATTTAAAAAAATTCTTTTATTTAAAGTAGAAATAAAAAAATTGGCGTTATTTAAAAAGATTTAAAATAAATAAAACTTTGGGTGTTCCTTTCTTTTTTTATAAAAAAAAACTTTTAAAATATTATAAATTTTTAAAAAAGAAATAAAATTTAAAAAAATTATTTAGAAAATATTATAATAATGTAAAATAAATATACATAACATAAAATAACAAAAAAAAAGAAAAGTAAAAAGATCGAATCGGTTTCTTACAGGTATCGGCCCGATCCGATATTTAATATCAGCACAGCACTACAAATAACCCTAATAACCACAGTGATAAATGTTCTTGCTTGTAGATTAAACAATTATATTATTTATTAAATAAGTATTAAAACTTATATGATATTATTAATTATCAATAATTTGAAAAGATGGATGAATATTATATTATATAAACAAATATTTATGACACTATAATCTATAATATAGAAAACATGATAAATTTCACATATATAATTTGTATAAGTTATAAATCATTTGATTTTTAGTAATCAAAATTTTAAAAATATTGGCGTTAGTTTTACACATGTAAATATAAATTTTTATATTTTATTTAAAGAATATACTTTCTTAATATATTTAAGGCCACTTCCAGAGAGACGGTTTTTCCTCAGCATTTTTCCAACAATTTGTTTAATTTATTTTCTTGCATAATATAAATTTATGTGTTTACACCATAAGATCCATCCATTTCAAAAATAGATGATATAAAAATGATTAGATATTTATCATTACCTTTAATACTTGCTTATTTAATTTAGTTATTATAAAAACAATCAAATTTGATACTTTATTTTATTATTGGAGTGTTTTATCAAGAATTCTTAATTTTATTATTCCCCCCATCTTGTTTTAATTAGTTTATTAAACTTTGATACCAAATTAAATGTAAATTTAAAAATAATATGCATATTCAGCTAAGATTATTTATATTTTAATCTTGGCTAATCTTCCAAAACAATATAATAATGCTTATACTTTTTTTTATCTTAATATAATAGGATGAAAGATTAGATGAAACTCTTAAAGAACTAGGATTGATATGATAACTATATATTAATTATTACTTTTTTATAAACGTATTAACTTTTTTTTAAAATGAAAACGTCAATTAAATCTCGAGGTTCTACCAATGTAAATGCATTAAAAAAAACCATATAATTATAGTATTACTCTAAACGCTCAAAAAATTATAATTACATTTTTTATTATTTTTTTCTAAAAAGGAAGAAAATTCGTTGAATTTATTTGAAGATAATACGATAGGTTAATTTTAAACGCTTGTGTTACTTGTTTTATATGTCCATGTCCTGCATAATTATTTTACTCATATTTATTTATTGAGTCCATATTTATGTTATAAATGTCTTGCATTTTCCAACTTTTTTGTAACAATTAAATATAAAAAACCAAAATTTGTCCAGTATTCTTCATTCAATTATCCTTATTTTGATCTCTTCAAAATGATTATATCATCAAAAATACAATAATAATATATTGTTTAATTTATTTTATTTATAATTTGATTCTTTTTGTTTATAAAAATCTTGCCACATTTATAGATTTTTCTCACACCCCAAAATAATCATTATTTGCAACCTTTATATTGAATTAATATGTGTAATATTTAAATATATTTATATGTTATGGTGAATTGTAATTTATATGGATTAATTTTAATTAAAATAAATGGATCAATATATTTTCTGAACAAATTTCACTACCAATTATCAAATACGACCATTCTAAAAATTATTTCCCTCTTATTAACACATGAATTTTTAAATAAATTTAATCTGTTATTAAAAAAAGTAAAAGCATTCATAACCAAAATTAGTGTCCTTTTCTCCTAAAAATATTTATGAATAATTGTAATAACAAAAATTAATGTTGATTTATAGGGTATGGAGGCTCGTAATCAAGGAAGACATAATCCCCCCTCCATAGCAAATTTGCCTGTTCTTGTAAATATCATTTTAAGCTAATAAAAAATTTCTCCAATACACTCCCTCTTTCCTTCAAATATATAATTTATCATTATAGAGAAGAATTTGAAAGAGAAATTAGGAAAAATTAATAACTTTTTTAAATAACGAATATAATTTTTAGAAAAAAAGCCATTTTTTAAAAAAATAAGGGAAAACTTCCTGGATGCACCCACCTATGGCGGTATGAGTATGTTAAATATGGATGGCTATACATTTTTTAAAATTAACTTTATAATGGTCTAAAATCATTTTTTATATTTACAAATTATCCATTTTACTGAATAAAATTTGGCCATATAGTAAGATTATATTATATAATGTATTTGATACTCCATATTTCATAAGATGAGAAATAATTGTTTGTTATAACAAATGGACATTATATGAAAGTTAAATATCTATTAATTAGTATGATAAAAAATAAAATTGTCAATATATTATATATTGTCACAGATAATATAATATTTTATAAATGTAATATATTAAATAATATAATTTTATAAATTTATTAATGTGATTGATTTTACATAATACATTTCAATTTTAATATAATATCAGGCCTAAATAAATATCTTGCTAACTTTATAAACAAAAAAAAAGTTTTAAAATATAATATTAAAAATGAAATTAATTTTTAACTCTATTGCATGAAGTACTTTATACTTTAACAAATTTAAAAAACGAAGGATTATCATTTTCTGTTTATCTATGTAAAATCAAAGTTTAAAAAAACATCTTCAAATTCTTAGTGATGATATTTTTCGTCTAAAATTTTGATCAAAATATTAAAAAATTTGTGATTTTTCATGAAAGATTTTTTATGCATAAGAATCACAAAAGATTTGAAATATTAGATATAATTTGATCAATAATTATGTTTTAGTATCCTCCAAAATATCTTCATATTAAAGATTTTTTATTTTGAAGAACATTTTATATATTTCTTATTTTTTCCCACCTTTTTTAAAGAGATTTTGGGTTTGTTAATTTTAATATACCATACATTTAAGGCAAAATAGTTATAAATTTTTTTTATTGATAAGATAAAAAATTTTATGAGAAAATTGGTAAAACAATTAAGGGCAATTTTTTATAATATTTTTAGCCTGGTATTTTACATTTGCTTTCTCTACATTAACTTTAAGCCATTTTTAAATCTTGGCATATTTTTATATATGGAAAGGCAGCAATGTGCTCCCTTTTGTTATCTATTGATAACAAGTTTCCACAGATTTTCTTGCCTTAGTCGTTTAATTTGTGATTTTGTTGTATAGACAGAACTTCACCATTTGAAAATTTAAAATTCAACCGAGACCTTTCTTTCTATCAAATCAAAGTTTATAAAGGAATTTTATTCACTTGAACTACACTCAGCTATGAATCCTCACCTTCCTCTGGGAATTTTTATAGTGAAATATTTACTTTTCTTTCTATATGTTTATATTTATTATAAATCTTAAAAAGTTTACATTTTCAAAAATAAACCTAAATTCATGTTTACTCTAATTACCATGATGAAATATCAATTTTATTTTTTTAAATAAAAATAAATTAAATAAATTATGCGATATCATTAATCCTTACTTATTACGAGGGCTATTCAGAACGAATGAATTAAGTTGAATCAAATAGTAAATTATTCATTTTTTTTCGAATAGTAAATTATTCGTTTTATTAAATTGGAATCGAATTATTATTACACAGAATAATTATTAATATGTTTTTAATAAAATTTATCAATGCAATCTGACAGTTGATGTGATTAACAAGGTGAATTGCTTGTAAAAGGTTTCTCAATTGCAAGTTTGACTGAACTAATTGTCAAAAAATCGCTGCCTTATGAAGAAACTAAGAAAAACTCTTTGTCATACATATTGATTAGGCATTAGAAATTAAATTGATTAGGCATTAGAAATTAAATTAATTATCATTTTATTCGTTAATAACTTGATCGCATGTTCATTAACATCAGATTATTATCCTTCTCTATAGTTAATTTCACGGGGTGAGTAATTTGGCAACAACTTTGAAATATTGTACGAAATATATTTATATAAATTATGTCATTTTAAAAAAATTAATAAGGGTAGAGGCTTCAAATATTTTTTCCAAGAGGGCTCCTTGAAAAGTTGTTTCAATAGTATAGATTTTTTTAATTCTTTACTACAATGGTTAGAGCTTATAGGGGAATTTTGTATTTCGAGTTTGATGTAACTACTCTATTTTTGTCAACATCTCAAGCGTTATTTATATCGAAAGAATGAAAACTTTCTATGTTATCCGATACACAATCCGGAACTTTTTCGTTGTGATACGCGGGATGCTAAAAGTCGTTGTTTATAGAATCTAACGAATATGAGCGGCATTATGGTGCTAACATTATCACTGACCAGTTAATATGAGGCTCTTTCTGCAACTTGGAAATTCGAACTGGATATACATTTAGCAATTGATTGAATAGAGTAGCTTAAATTTTTATAAATTCATCCGGTTCAATTATGTTCAAAATTTATTTCAACTCGAGAGATTTAACTTCTTTAAGCGAGTACATCTTGGGCCAAAATTTGAGCAAACCATTTATAGCCGGTTCTGTTAGCGCCGAATCTTTTCCTATGAATTGAACAACGCAAAGGATCAGTGGGGATGGTATAAACCCAGGTTTTTAGTTTTGTGCAAAGGGAGTAAAACCATAAAAAGAAATTACTAGTTGATTCGAAAATGTTTACTTTCTTTTGACCGCTTCACCGCCAACACATTTTTAAGCTTTTAAAACAATTATGATTTTGACATTATTTTCTGGGGGGGGGGTGTGAGTTAGTAATGACATTCGGTGGGCGAAACTTAGGCTGTATAATGATGTGAAGGGTGGGAAATTAGATTTAGGTAAAAAAATGAATCTTCAAAATCTAAATTACAAATGAATATTTTTTCAAATAATAATAAGGCAGAATACATTATAATTACATAAATATTGATTATTATTGAATCATAATTCAGAAGATCTTTTGTTCCAACATTTCCTCATTAAATTTAAAAAAATATATGAAACTATTTCCCCAAAACAGGTTCGGTTCGGATTCACGAGGAGTTTTAAATGGATTTAGATTAAATAGAAAGTCTCTGAAACATGATGGATTTAGATTAAATAGAAAGTCTCTGAAACATGATGGATTTAGATTAAATAGAAAGTCTCTGAAACATGATTAATATTAATTTAATTATCAATCTATGTATATATTATTTTTTTATTAGTCTACTTATTTAATAGAAATAATTATTTTGTCTTGGAAAAATTAACTTAAATTATATCAAATACCGAACATTAAAACAAATTATACTATGAACGTAAAAAAATATAAATTTTATCCCAATTATTCTAAAGTTAAATTATAATTTTAAAACAGATTTTCCTACACTTAGAAGTTAAAATTTTTTTACAATTATATACAAGTTAATATTTTAATTTTAGAAATAATTTTCTTACACTAATTTATACTAGCTTATATTGACGATTTTTTTATTATAAGTCTATCTTAAGTAATTGTAAAAAATTTAAGAAAAACCCATTGTTAAACATTGAAGAAACGATAGATATTTTATTTTAAATTTAGGAGTATAGCCTCTGATGGCTATACTCTATGATTTATTTGCAATGATATTCTTTTTCTCTTTTTATTCTTTTAAAATATACTAAAACATAATAAAAATCCACTAATAATAAAGTGATCTTTACAATTTCTTTTAAATGTAATAAATATAATCAATCAGCTCTATCGAAATTAATACATCTGTTAAAAGTAATTATTTTATCAAAATACAAGTAGTACATAAAATATATGTAAAAACAGAAACTACAACAATTATAGTAATCAGCTGCAGAAACCATTTTATGGTTTGCATAGACAGGATATTTATCGTTTCATTTATGAATATTTTTTTAACTAATTAATTCACGTGCATACCACACAATGATATCTATTGTAAAAAAGTCGTAATGGAGTATGTACTATGGTTTTTTTGTGATCCCTCAATTTTAAATTGAAAATTTGATTTGACCAAAAATCTAATCTATCATTGCATGTATAGAGTAGCCGCATCATTAATTTCAAACAATTTTGCAATAAAATATTTATATAATTAATATATATTAAGAAACTTTTTTATTGCCTGATATTCACAGGGTAGTTTTTTAATGTATATATGCTGGAATTTATTTCTGGTCAATTTTTTTAAAATTAAAAATCGACCTAAGTAAATGATTTTTAATTAAGAGATTCCGAATCCCTATAAATTAGATATCCCGATATGGCATCTATACTTTTAATTGAATTTTGGAGATATCAATCGCTAATCTAGATTATTATATTTTATTGGTACTAATCGGTGAATAAGCATGAAGTATACTTTCGTTATTATTGATCTAACTATGCAAAATTTTAAGATAAATAACTAAGTGGAATTGTTTTTGAATAAAATGCTAAACTACTAAATTTTAAAAGTTCTTGTTATATTTTTCATTTTTTAATTATATTTTATGCAGTTGAAATGAATGATAAATTGGACAATCAATTTTGACTCATCCTCTTTCTACAATAAGTTTTTTATTTTTAACATAAAAATTTCCGCCATGTATTTGCAATTGTTACGTCCAAAGGGATGAATCGTTTCGCTTCTTTTTTCAAATTTTGAGAAGTTGGTGTTTATCTTTTTCTAAAAAAAAGAAAGAAAGTAAAAAATAAATTAATTTCTTCCATAAACGTAGCCAAATTTTCTAGAAAGGAAGTACTAATAGATTTTTTTTCCGCATAGATTTTATTGGATATATTTAGGATGATCAACTAGAGGCCTTTGGCTATATTACATTTTGTAAATAAAAGTTTTGAATTTTACCTTTTTTAATATAAAAATATTTTTAATTATAGTTATTATTTTAAAAAATTGTAAACTTTTGTTTATCTCCTTCAAATTATCTATTTAAAAGTAATATAACATACATTTTTGGAATAGAGGAGATTTATTTTTAAAACAATACTTGTAAAATTGACAGAACATATTTTTAAAATTTTCTCTTTATTTATTTTTAAAAAAGTGATTCATATTTAGTTTCCCAACTAGTGTTGTTAAAAGCCCGATTTGGGTCGTTTTTAAAAACTGCTTAAGTAAGATTTAGCCAAAATAGAATCATGTAAGCTTTGAAATTTGGAAAATAGCATCAATTCGCTAAATCTGCAGGTTACATAATGGCTAAAATTTAATCGGGCTGTATTAAGAAATTGACCCAAATCTGGTTTCGAACAAAACTATACTCAACCTTTAATATTTAAAATGTAATTAAAAAATTTACACCAAATATATATTACTTTGGCAATGACAATTGGTGTCTAGAAGTATATAGATTTTTCAGGTAGTAAAATAGTATAAATTTTTTTATCGCTAGAGTGACAAACGGAATTTCACTTAAGGTTCCATGTCAATTCAGCGAAACTTTTATCGCGAAACACTTTTTCGCGAATGTCGTTTATCGCGAATGGATTTTATAGCGAAACTTTTATCGTGAATCCATAATAGCGAATACTATTCCGCGAATGCAAAATCGCAAAACAAATATCGCGAATTTTTTATAGCGAAACCTTTATCGCGAAACCTTTATCGCGAAACCTTTATAGCGAGTACATTACCGCGAATACAATATCGCGAATTTTTTATAGCGAAACCTTTATCGCGAAATCTTTAAAGCGAATACATCACCGCGATACTTTTATAGCGAATCAATAATCGCGAAAATTTTATAGCGAAACATTTGAAGCGAATACATTACCGCGAATATTTTATAGCGAAGTTATTATCGCGAAACTCAAATCGCGAAGACAATGTAGCGACAATTATTTCGTGAAACATATATCGCGAAGAAATTATAGAGAATTTAATATCGCAATAATTGCTAATAATGACTAATTTATTTTGAATCATTTTTTTATGATTATATTATTTGAATAATATTTTTTTAATTCACATAGTTTGTAATTTTCTTTTAACCTTAAAAAATTTATATAATGATTAATAAACTTAGATCTGGTTTATAAAATTTGTTATTGAAATACACTTTTTTCGCTATCCTATCCTTTTCTTCGAAGTTCTTATTTTATAATAATCGCGCACAAGGAACTCAGTTTTATCAATATATTAATCATTGAGTTTATTAGTTAAATCTTGATATTTACTGGCGAAATTGATATCTGGGTAGCATTCCTATTTATTGTCTGATTCAGGCGCGTACGCAGGAATTTGGTCTGGGGGGTGGGGATATTAAATTTTTTTAAGAAATATTACTGTTAATTAAAAATACTAAGCATAAATTTATTAGAACTATTAACTTTTCTAATACACAATTTTAAACTAATGTGAATTAAAAAAATTATATATATAAACCGGCATAGAAAAACTATAAAATAAATGTGAATTATAAAATATAAATTGAATATAACCCACGGATGAATCACTTAAATGACCCAAAATTGAAATTTGAATTTTTTGAGCTTTTAAAATATATAAAGTATAAAAAATTTAAATGTTGGAAATATAAATTAATACACAAAAAGTTTCCTAGGAATAATTATTTTGTATGTTTTGAGCTAATTTTTCAATTATCTATTCTTGCTTGGCGTTAAATGCCTATGAATATTCAAAAGATTCAAATCATTCAATCTACTTTCACATTTTGTATTTCATAGGTATGTTCACAGACTTGCAGGCCCAGCCCCCGAGCTGGACCATATTTTAATTTTTTTTAAATATACACGGGCGGGGCCCGTAATTTTTTTTAAAAAAAACACCCAAGCCGGGCCTGAAAATTTTTTTAGAAAAATATCCGGGCCGAGCTGTATATTTTAAAACCAAATATTTGAAATCGCCATTATTAGCTATAAAAATAAAAATAAATATAATTTTTTTTAAAAAAATTCGGGCCGGGCCTGAAAATTTTATTTTCAAAAAAGCCGGGCCGGAAAAAATTAAAAAAAAAAATCTGGGCCATGTCCTTATTCTTCTTAAAAAAGAGAATGTTCTCTCATTAATTTACTAAAGAGCTGCTAATATATATATATAACCATTTTAATACATTGGGAGTATAATCTAAAATGTGTTTGAAATAATGCAAAGCATCCATAGCATTTTTTGGGACTGTATCAACCATAGTTAATCTTTAAATCATAGTTATTCAGCTAATAAGGCAATATAAGATATTTTAACATCTTCTTGATAAAAATCTAACAAATATTTATATTTTTTTCTATCACCATATGAAAAAGGTTGGGAGAGGCGACATTTGTTTTATAATACTCTTCTACTGATCCTATATTAATGTTTTGACGATAAGCTTGCTTGCTGCAAGTCGAGGGAACAAATATTAAACTCGTATACCTCTACTTTTGACTCAACAATAACATATAAAATATGAAATTCTTCATCAACCTTAGCTCTAATTTCCTTGAGTTCTAATAAAATGCTCTCCGCTATTCTCATCATCTTAATCAAGTCAATGTTATGTTTTTGAAAAGTATTACATAAAGTAGTTGTATAATTAAATAATACATTCTAATGAGAAAACAAATTTGGAATAAGTTTTGAAAATAATTTTGCTTCTGAGGAAATATTTCTTTCAAGCCATTGTGATATTTCAGTAATAGCATTAATAAGCGGCTCTTCTAACTCCATAAAAGCTGTTACGGCTTGATGGCGGAGACTCGATCTCGTTGGACAAGCTTGCAATTTCTTTCTCCCTGTTAGACAAGGAGTTTCAGAGATAATTATTATTTGACTAGAGATTTAGATAAATATTACGCCACTAAAAATTTTAAATAATAGGTAAATTATGCCAAGGAAAACTTGAAATCGAAATTAATTGATAAAATAACTTAGTAATGAATGTGATAAATAAATGTAATTAAATATATATATATGAGATTGTAATAAATATTAGCAAATATAAATTAATATTAACAATAATATTTTTGAAAAATATAATCCGGCATCTGCATTTTTTGTCCTCCCCGCTGCGTACGCCAATGGTCTGATTACTTAATATAAATTTATCAATCAATTTTGGCTAGGGTTAGCAAGTCAGTCAATTGACCAGTCAAATGACTAGATTTTGACAGGTCGGGGGATTTGCGGATATGGTTTCGCGATATTACCTTCGCTATAAAATTCCTTCGCGATAAACGACATTCGCGATAAAAGTTTCTCTGAATTGACCTGATACGTTTAAATAAAGGGTCAATCATATGTTTTCATACATTAAAATATGAAGTATTCGTTATCGTTATCAATATTTGTTTATTCATGTACTCAGGTACCTAAATTTAGAATAGAAATATTAATATTTAGTAGAATTTATAGATATTTAAATATTTATTATTTGTTATTGTAATTTAGATACTTACAGATATAGCTATATTAAAGGACCTTAAAAATGCAAATAATAAATGTGTAGCCTATAATCGACAATACACTTCTCTAAATTCGAATCACCAAAAAGTAAAATTAATTTTAGAAAAGTATGAAAACGCCCCAACTCTAAAAATGCATGATATGTTTTAGCATCAGCAACATTTAGGGTCAATACTATAAATGGTTACCAGTAGATTGAGTGGGGGGGGGGTGTACATAGCATGTTTCTATAAATCAAAATAAAATATTAAATCATGCACATCTTAATATAATTAGCTTATACTTTATTATAATAATGACTGAATCTAATCCTTTTCATTTAGGACACCTATACCCTGATAGATCTCACACCAGATGATGGTTGCTCATCTTCTAATTTATTGGATATTAATCAAGTTATCAAGGATACAGGCATGGCTGCTAACATCGGAATCAATTTAAATACTATGATTGTGTTAAACCGCGGTAATTGTAGATTGGTCAAAAGACTAATCAATTTATATGGAAAATTCAAAATGACTAATTTGTTAGTGGTTTACCCATCAAACAATATTGTAATTATATATTATTATATTATTATATATATATATTTATGTTATACACTTAGAATTAGAATAGGGTAGGGTGATGATGTAGTGTTAAACTCCTAATTTTTTCAAATACAAATCGATTTAATCCCACCTATGCCCAGTCAAGATCCAATCTAACTAAATCTGATACATTCTCTTAGAGTCCACCCTGAGTTCATCCATATATTGTCAAACTGGTCTACCTTAGTCTAAGACATAAAATGGTTTTTGTTTAATATATTATTATATGTTAACCATGAATCATTATATTTTTATTAACCCCCCCCCCTCCCATCTCACAAGAAAGTTATTTCTTAGGCATACGATAAATTAAAAACATATGTGACACTCAAACTGTAACTTTTCAGTTTTGGGTAACAGATTGCATACAAACTGGGCATGCCAAGCTCAATAAGCATCCAGAAGAAAGGGAAAACTTTTAAATGCCTTTTCCCTACAATTTTATTGGAGCATTTTAGGGTTGCTTATTGCAAATTTGACCAGGTTACATTTAAAAAAAGACGATTTTGTTTTTGCTCCTTTTCATTATTATTTAAATTAGAGAAAGTCAACCATTCAATTTTTGGACTACGTTTTGAGCTGAACCAACTTGGTCGTACCTAAAAAAAATTTCGATTATCTTTTTATAATTATCAAAAATATAAATATTTAAGATAATTGAGCATCTATATAAGTTCTATTCCTAAACAAATCTACAATTTAATTTAGACTTTTCAATAAATTTACAAAGTAAATTTATACTATGATAAAATTATTTAAATGTTATGTTTTAACCTATAACTCCACATGATCAAACATATGTTAAAGCATGCCCATTAATAATAGATTCCATTGTTAATTCAATCTATACTAGCTAGAGTTCATGTTGCCATCCAGACAACTTCAGTTCTTTGTGAACAATTATTTTGCAAAGAGGTGACTTAGTAACAAATAGGATTTCGATTATCAAGCAATATGATTCTATTATACATGTCTTAAATGTAGTTAGAAAATTTTCAATCTAATATTTAAGAAGCTGATATTACTATTCATTATATTAAATACTTTTATTGTTACAATTATATTTTCTTATTCCTTTTTCTATAAATGCAAAATAATAATCAATTTTACAAGAATGATATTTTATTAAGGTCGTTTTAAAATCAAAATCCATATTTGTTTAATTTTATCATCTTTACTGTCGATGGATCTCTCAAAATTAGTTCCAGAATGATGACCAATACCAATTAAGAATTGTTAAATTTATAATAATGAAACATTGAAAAAAAATAAAAAGTTTAGATTATAAATTATAAACTAACAATCAGAATGTATTATTAAATTATTGTAAATGTAGTCAATTTAATTTTTCTTATTATTTAACAATTGTTTGTTCATAACACAAGAAAACAGATTTAATAATAATATCCTCTTCAATTTATAAATTCGTCCCAGGAACAGGGTTGCCAGGGCTTCCCCCATCTAGTTAATTTTAAATTTTTTTAAAAAAACGTCTAGTTTGTCAATTTCCTTTTTCCTAATATGTTTTATTTAAATCGATCAAAAAAGGCTCGGCCGACCCCTTTTAAAATTGTTCAAAATTTCTGGAATTATTTAGATAGGTATATAAATGAGAATGCCGTTTATTTTAGCTCTCTAGCACACCTTGTTCTTGAGATATAGGGGCTCAAAGGTACAAAAAAGAGCCACTTTGGAATCTGTAAAATTTTTAAAATGCTTATATCTCAAAAACTATTTATAGTAAAAAAATTATAATATATCATTTTGTAGGTAAAGAAATTCTCTAATGGGCTAACAAAGAATAATAAATATTGGCGCCATTATAGACTTTTAACATCATGTTTACCTAAATTGCTTTACCTGTATTTTTAAGCAAAAAAGGGAGTTTGTTTTCAAAATTTTTATTTAGCTTTTTATTTAGAAACCTTTTATAAATATATATACGATGTCAAAACCTTGGCGACGCTATCGACTTTTCCGAAATAAACATTTTTACCAAAATTTAAAGAAAAAAGTAGATGGCGCTAATAGTTGAAAAATATTATTCTTAGGGAAAATGAAAATATTGATACGTTTATAAGAAATGTGATAAATTTTTCAGTTCTGCCCCCCCCCATCCTCCCACTATCCTTAAAATGTTTTACATTTTTTAGATCTCTACTTTGCTACTATAGCGAATGACTTATTAGCTCGATGATGTAAAACAGCTGCAGTAAAAACGAATATTTTATTAGGCATATTATCGATTATATTTTACAAAATAAACTGTTTAAAACGATCTCTTTTTGCGTAATATTTTTAACTTGTCCGTTCAGATTAATTTTAAATAATTAAACCTGTTTCTGCTTATTATTTTATCGTCTGTCTACCAATAACATTCTGGATTTGGAGAGTGCAAAAACATATATTCTAGGTGCAGATCAATTAAAATTTTATTCTATATCACAGATGACGTACCAAATAATAAAATTTTGCAACCCATTTTATCTACAGAGACATGCTTTTTATCGCGAGAATCTAAGAAAGATTTTACCCTGGATGACCCAAAAAAATTTACCATTCAATTTAGATATGTTAATATGCTCTTCATGCCACAAAAATCAGCAAACATTCCTTATACTTCAAATGACAATGTAGATATTGATTCTCCCCCTCATATATTAATCAAGAGGCTATTGATAACATTAATATATCCCTACAATCAAATGGGGAATCTAAAGAAAACGCTTATATGAAAAGAAATATTCGAAGAAAAAAATATCTAGAGTAAAAAAAAGTTTAAAAGACTAAACTTATACCATTATCTTCATCAAATGATAAAAAATTCTATGAAATTCTAAATATCTTAAAAATTAAAAAAAATATATGAAAGATATTTATTATTAGAAATTTGTTACATTATTAAGTGTCTAATGGGAATATGCCAACTCTGCTCCTCGGTTTAATTAGTATATTTAATAGAAATTCGAAATTTTTTAGAAAAAAGCGAAAATATCCGGTTATTGATAAGTTAGCAGCAAAATTTCAACCATAATCCGTAATTTCATAATGCGCCATCTATTTTTTTCATCAATTTTTGGAGTTGATAGCGTCGCCAAGGTTTTGATATCGTATATATTTTTAGCAAAGGAGTCTAAATAAAAAGCAAAAAAAATATTTCGAAAACAAACTCCCTTTTTTGTTTAAAAACACAGGTAAAGCAAATTAGGTAAACCGGAAGTTAACGCCTCAAATTGGCGCCAATTTTTATTGTTTTTTGATAGCTCTTTAGAGATTTTTTTACCAACAATTTGATTTTGATATATTATCTTACTATAAATAGTTTTTGAGATATAAGCATTTTAAAAATTTTACATATTCCAAAGTCGCTCTTTTTTTGCACATTTGAGTCCCTATATCTCAGGAACCAGGTGTGCTAGCGAGCTAAAATAAACGGCTTTCTCATTTTCTAAACTAAATAATTCCAGAAATCTTTAACAATTTTAAAAAGGGTCGGCCGAATCGTGATCGATTTGACGTGGAATGACCCAATAACACAACATCATACCATGTGTTTATGTTGCTTAATTTTAGGAATTAGGATAGGCAGATTTTATCTGGACTGGATATATTTCCTTGAGATTGCATCTCTTTTCTCTTAATCAAATTATCATCATATTTATTTAAATACATAACTTAATAAATAATATCGAACTTATTTCTATAAGATAATTATTTATTATTGCTCAGCAATTTATTACCATTATAACCATTTTTTCTTTCTTTCTTTCTTTCTTTCTTTCTTTCTTTCTTTCTTTCTTTCTTTCTTTCTTTCTTTCACATAGCATTGCATAACTCTTTAATATTTGTGAATTATGAAGAAACAATTATTAATTAATTCCTATTTCAACAAATGTCAAGCACAGGCACCACGTATGATATGGATGCGAGTTATTATGCCATGTCTCTGATTATCACCCCTGCCATTGATAGATTTTTAAAATATCATGAACCTTTAGAAAGAAATTTTTTAAATGGAAATTATAAAAGCTATTTAAATATTTTGAAAGAATTTTTCGCAAGTGAATTGGCGGAAGCATATTAAGCCATGGTTTTACATCTAGTAAATCAATATGGTGTTAATATGCTATTGCAATCCAAATAATTTTAGTTAATAAAGATTCACAAAATTATGTTACAGCTATGTTAATCTTTAATAATTCTATACACTAATGTGTAAATATTAAAACCTTAAAACAAAAACCATCCATTGATGGATTTTGTAATTTGATAAATATATTAAAACAATTGATTTTATTTTTTATGATTCTTTAGAATACTCTAAAAAATGGTCTAAAAGCATTGGAGAAATGGGTGTAATTTTTTCGTAATAACCAATCCCTACTTTGAAAAAAATATGCGAGCATGTATTCTCTATTACCTATTTTGAAAAATATTACAAAACGTTATTGACTTTGTTAATAGGAGGCTCAATAGAATCCTAAATTAATTATAATAATGGGGGAGGGGAGTAACTAAGCCATTTTACAAACTCGGCCGTAGGCCGCGGCTTCTCCCGCAATTTTCAAATTTCTCCCTCATAATAAAAAATTTAATCAATTTTTGATCTGGCAACCTTGCCCAGTAAGTACCTACCTAGTATACTATTTATTCTTTTTGGTTTTATTATTAAATTTGATTTAAATCAAAAAATTAATCGATATTTTTTATTTTTCTAAATATAATCATGATTTTTTGATTTGGAGTGACTTTATCACGCGTCACATTGTCATGCCACATTTTATCACGGCGACACTTTACAGGGTTGCAGGTGTTTGTGTTTTATTTGGTGATAGATTAAAAACAAAGACTATTAAGTGGTATAATAAATAAGTTTGAAGTATTTAAAAAATAGAAATACCTCATTTATGTATTAATAAAAAAATAGTTTAAGTGAATATTTTTTCAAAATTTTTTAAACCTTA